ACTACACGTTCCAACAGCCTTAGCGCTGTGGTAGTTCATTGATTTTTCCTGTCAGTATATCTGCTTGCTCGTGCAGATATACTGACAGGTCTGCAGGAGACCTGAATGCAATGCTTTACAGACTCCTGCAACAAAAAATAATAAATGCACATTTTTTTTACCAGCAAAAAATATGCATTTATTATTTTTTGTAGAAAGGTGAACGTATCCTATGACATATAAAGGTGGTCCAGCGAGCGCTAAGAACAGTATTTAGAAGTAGCTGATACACTAAAGGAAACCTAAAAACCTTCTGAGTATAGAAAAAGTAAAAAGTGCAGCGCTAATGGACAATATGCAAAGAACAGGCCCGAGGCTGACCAAAACCTCAAATGCAGTGAGTATAATCAACAGTGTAGTCCAAAGATAGTATTGTCCAGTGTGTAGTGATCTCTGACAAATTGTTGACTTTCGTTAATCCCAATGAGGCATACACTTGGTGACGTGCAGGAAATATGAAAAATGCGCACTCACCAGATGCGCGGTAAAAAAGCGCAATGATCTAAACCAGAGGCCCCTCTTGTCCCTAACATGTTCCCAATCCTGCAGCTGCTGCCCAATCCCCTCCCCTCCCTGTAACAGTACAGGGAGAAGTTCCCTGTACAAGCTGTCACTTTTTGAAAACAGCGTGGGAGGAGTGTTCTGTGAATGAATGGACTACAAGTTCCAACAGCCTTAGCGGTGTGGTAGCTCATTGATTTTTCCTGTCAGTATATCTGCTTGCTCGTACATCCCATATAGGCAAGCAGATATACTGACAGGTCTGCAGGAGACCTGAATGCAATGCTTTACAGACTCCTGCAACAAAAAAATAATAAATGCACATTTTTTTTTACCAGCAAAAAAAAATATACATTTATTATTTTTTGTAGAAAGGTGAACTTATCCTTTGAAATAATTGGGATCCCGGAGGGATTTAAGCTCACTTGGTCTGCCACCATCATTGTTATTTTAGTCTGAATGTATGTTGGATTGGTTTTATGTAACAGTTGAATGTTATATGTGTCTAAATATAACCAAAATCTGCGCTTAGAAAAACAAATAAATAAATTTATATAGCAGCTGGACACCATACCCTGATATCAGGCACCTCATATACAGTATTCAAATAAAGTTCAGTACTCAAACATGTCATACAAAATTAATAATCATGATAAAAATATTGTGTAAAAATTAATAATAAATAATTACAAAGTGTCCGTAAATTATATAATCATATGGTGGAATCAGAATAGAAAAGTCCCAAAACTGTGATGAGATCAGAAGACTTCCAAAGACAGCCAATGTGACACCATCCACTCACATGCAAGGCTTACTAGAAGGCATGGAACCTCTACAAAGAGTGGTAAATCTGCGCTTTATGGGATATCATTGGTAACATCTAGGGAAATACAAGATACACCCAAGGAAATGACATATGATGATCCTTTAATAGATCCAACCACTCCAAGGTAAATTAATGGACCAAGAACTCACAGCCTAATACATGCAATAAAAGATGTGTTCACATAGTGTAAAACCATCAGAGATCTGTATGGATATCTATAGAGAGGTAGGTGCAGGTATGTATACTGGAGGCCTGTACAGGTGTGTAGAAAGAGGTATATGTGTATTTCAACATGATATTGAATACTGTTTTTTTAGGTCATTTATTAATAAAGATTTTTAATTTATTACACTGTTCAACAAATTTTTATTTTTTGCCAGTTTTGGAAACAAAAGGATCCATTTCTTAATGAATTTCACATTCTGAGTTCAAATATAACAATGAAATTTGTCAATTGGCTCTAGTTTTTCTGTAAACGGAAAGTTTTCTACTATAGGCGTAATGACTACATAATGCACATAATTATATAGATAGATGTCTTTCCACAAATATAAAGCAAGTGATATTGACTACATAACAAAGCCTAAATGGCATAATATATTGCATAGGATTACCAAGAAAAATTATAGCCATAAGCTAAGTTGAATCATTTTAATACTTAGGATTCTCACTAGTTTTGTCTTCAGTTTGTGTCGGTTTTGCTTCTCTTGGCTTTTCTCTTGTATTCGAGGAAAGGGCTATCTCTTACAACTGCACGTGACTACACGCTTCAGGTTCTTCCTCACTTGACTCAACCACAAAGGATTCTGGTGCTTTAGGAATTGGTAGCCCCTCTCCATGAGGAGCTGGACATATTGCCGATGGAATATTTGGATAGTGCACAGATAACTTTTTCTTCTTATTTAGCCCTTTTACAATTGGAATCACCATACAAAAGTAACAATTACTAACATGATCTGTTGGCTCTCTCCAAATCATTGGCACAGCGAAAGGCATAGATGCCTTTTTTCCATTCAACCATTGCTCCAGTGCCGTCCCACAAGAATTGCAGCATATATGTGGTGCCCAGCTCTTGTCCTGGTCTCCTATCTTGCAGCCAAAATACAAGTTGTAGGCTTTCTTAATCATTCCTGTTATCCTCCTTTTTTGTGAGATAAAAGTTATTTCACCGCAGATATAGCAGAAATTATCTGCTTTATTCACACAAGTTCGAGGCATTACTGAGTAGCCTATATAAGCATAAAACGAAATGTAAAGACGCTGTCAAACTACAATCAGCTACAGATACTGCAGCTTTTATGCAGTGAAGTGATGCAATTAAAGGCTAATATTGCATCATCTCAGTATACATGCAATTTTCTATTGGTCACCAGTATCAATTGCGCAATATGCAGCTGAAGTTGCATCATAATTTTGAATGGCTTACGTCATTAGATGGGTGAATATATCATGGAAACTAGAGCCAATCAACATTTTTTAGGGTCATTTTCATTTTCAGCACCCCAAAATTATGTAAGATTAGCTAATTTTATGCCCAAAACTTTTTACCTGTTGAACAGTGTTATTAATCATACACATTGATACATTTTTGGTACCTTGAAAGTCCCATCTATTGTATATAGAATTAGCATTATTTAATGGGGATACTGGAACTATACTTCAGTATCGGACAGTTTGGGTCCATATATGTTTATATATTATATATCTTTTTACCACTTGCCGTGCAGAGGATTAACCCCCCTTCCTGACTGATTTTTTGTGATACGGCGCTGCGTTAATTTAGCTGACAATTGCGCAGTCATGCAATGTTGAAATTTATGTCCTTTTTTTTTCCCACAAATAGAGCTTTCTTTCAGTGGCATTTGATCACCACTGCATTTTTTATTGTTTGCGTTATAAACAAAAAAACAAAAAACTAAAACTTTCTGAAAAAAAAAACAATATTTTTGACTTTTGCTATAAAACATATCCAGTAAGAAAATGGAAAAAAAATCTAATTTATTCATACAGTTATGCCAAAATGTATTCTACTACATATCTTTGCTTAAAAAAAATCCCAATGAATGTAAATTAATTGGTTTACGCGAAAGTTATAGTATCTACAAATGGCGGTATATATATGGAATTTAAATTTTTTTATACTAGTAATGACGGCAATCAGCGACTTATAGCAGGACTGTCTGACACTGAGGAGGGAACTGACTAACTGCCACTGACATCCCAATGACACTAATGCAGTAATCAGTGCTAATAAAAAAGCACTGACACTGTACTAATGACACTGGGCAGGAAGGGGTTAACAGAAGGGGTTAACATCTGGGGTGATCAAAGGGTTAACTGTGTGCTGTTTTGCATAATGCTGTGTGTTTTACTAGGGAAACATGCCGCTGTGTATTTCTGTGCTGTGCAGAGAAATACACAGCATCATGTTCTTGCTGGCAGGAGAGAGACCTGTGTTGTTTACACACAGGTCTCTCCCTTGTCAGTTTGTTTTGGCGATCGATGGGTGCCGGTGGGGAATCTCCAGCCGGGACCTGGTGATTGACATCAGCGGCGCGGGTAGGGCGGCGCACATGCCTCCTACCCGGAAATACAAATCACGTGTATATACGTGATTTTGCACAGTCCTGCCGCCCTGTAGCAGTAGTTCTACTATAGGGCGGCGTGTAAGTGGTTAAAAAAGGAAACCACCTTGGAAGCTCCTTACTGTATACACAGCATGCAACAATAGTCTGCAAACAGAGGAGCAGCGGCAAGAGTGTTTTTATATGATTGCCTTTTCCTTATGTGTGACCACCTCAGTCAAGTCACTTGGCCTCCCAGCAGGCAGTAATGATATAGCTATTTTGTGAATTCATCAGATGAACCTGAGCTGAATTTATTCAAACAAATAAGGATGTCTGTGATTATGGCATTTCAGTCTATTCTATTTCTACTGACACTTCGCTGTTAAAATATCACCTCCGCATAGCAGAGCATCAAACCTATATCTGAACAGACAGGGCTAGCCTGGAGTTTTGCTGGGGGGATTTTAAACACATGCAATAACAAGAAACACACAGGAAGATGTTCCCTGGTGACTCCGGCACAATGCAAAAGCCTCCACCATGCATACTGAGCCATTGATACATTATTATTTGTACTGCTAATTCAAATAAGACAAGACTGTCTCCTGAAACTGCGGACAGTTGGCAACTATTGATTATATAATATGTACAATGAGGTTCTATAAAGATATAATTGCATTCTATTATTAAAAAAAAAATCTGTGATACTGTATTCTATAGTCTGTCTACACAATAATATGGCTCTTTGGCACAATAAATTCTCCAGCAAGCAATGAAATTGTTGCAATGGAGAAGACATTCACAGAAGCAATGATTAGGCAAAATGTATATCCGCAGACATGAGTGCAAGACTTAGGGCCAAGGCTGTGGATAAGGGGGTACCAACAGTCTTACTGTATGGGGCACAGGCCAGCAGGGGGGCCCAGGTAGCTGGGTGAATTGGATGTGGGCACGGGGAGGGTGATTGCCATGGTGAGGTGGCGGGCAGTTACTGGAACCGATCCCCTGTATGGCTCTCTCTGCAACTTCTGAAAGCTGCCTTTTTCTCCTCTCAATCCCACTGGCTTTCAGCTGCTGTAGAGAGAGCCAGGGGTGGACTGACCATTTGGAAACTTGGGCACTGCCCGAGGGCCTATGGTCAGTAGGGGGCCCCATGAGATGCCCCTGGTACCTTTTTCATAGACTTTTTTGAGTTTGGGCAAGGACACAGGGGCCCCATGATCCCCTATTGCCCGGGGGCCCCATGAGTTGTCAGTCCGCCCTTGGAGAGAGCCATACAGTGTCTGTTCCAGTGATCGCCCCCGCTGCACCCATAACCCTCTTTGTGAACTATACATTCCCTTGCTGCCCAGGACCCCCTGTGTGCCCCTAACCCTGCAGTGCTGCAGGCTTCCCTCCTCTCCTTCCCGCCAACAACTGCAAGCACACAATAGGATCGTTCAGGATGGAAATAGGGAAAGGATCTGCTAAATATGTCACATTTACCACCCCTTCCTATCCTGAATGAACACAATGGATGATCAGTACCAATCACTCACTGTGTTCATTAATAACTGAAGCCTAGTAACATTTTTTTTTGGGGGGGGGAGGGGCTGTCAGGTTGGCTGTGTGGGGCCCTGTTGTTTCTAACAGCAGCCCTGCATAGGGCCCCTTGTGACAACACCTGTGAATGCAAAATTTACTATGAGGGTTATTTAGTAATAGTGGAGAGTGCAAAATCTATCTGGTGCAATTCTGCATAGAAACCAATCGTCAACAACAACAAGCTGAAGTTAGAAGCTGATTGGCTACAATGCACAGCTGCACCAGATTCTGAGTGCTCCAGTTTTGGTAAATCGCCCTGTTTACTTGGTGCATGCCTAAGGTGTTATGTGTAAGTTATTTTGAAATTCCTGCTCCAAATCTCTTTCATTCATTTAAACAATTGTAATTTATCTCCATTGCACATCATCCTCAAGTCTCATGTTCACAGCCATTTGCAATAAAGTCACTAGGTGACTCTTACCTTAACAACATCATGGGCCCATTTTTGGCAAAAATCCTCCCCTGGGGGACCCCTACAGAGAGTTGGTGACCTACAGCACACATAGCGTACTGCTGCACACTGTGCATGTGGCAGAATTAATGCCACATCTTGGGTGGTGGCTTTAGTCATGATACTTATTATTTTGATTATGACATCTGGCTGTGGCTTGGATTATGAACTTTAGTCTGATTTTTTACACATTTTTATTCATAAACTGAAGCATAGTAAACTGGACACAGGAGTGATCAGTACCAATGTCCATTTATTAAATGAAGGGCTGGTAAATTACATCTTTACCAGCAAGGGCTGGTAAATTACATCTTTACCAGCCCCCTCCACCGTTCTCCATCCTGACATACCCCCTTGTTGCCTGCATCAGCAAGCAGGACACAGGGAATGGAGGGGGGGGGGGGTGGGGGAATCAGATTAACAGAAAAGGTGGACCAGTGTGGTGGGGCGAGGAGGGGGCAATTTCAGCTGCTGCAGGGCGAGACACAAGACAACATTCTGTAATTGCCCTTTTGCCCTGCCCCACGCATTCTATGCATAAAGGTTAAAAACCTTCAGCTCCCCCCAGCCCCCCAATACTTACCTGAGCCCAATCTTGATCCAGCGATGTGCAGGAGAGCCATGGCTCTCCCAAGTGTCTCGCTCCCTCGCTCCTCATTGGCTCACACAGCAGAAGGAGCCGTCGGCTCCTGCTGCTGTCAATCATAGTCATTGAGCCATTGAGGAGAGAATGGGGGGTGGGGATGCGAGCAGTGCTATGTGTGAAAATGGACAATGTCCATTCACAGTATGGCCCAGGAGCGAGCCTACTCCAGTGCTCCCATAGTAAGAGGTTTGCTATTGGGGGTACTCGGCAGGGGCGAGGATCCAGGCACTGCCGGCGGAGGACCCAAAACGAAGAGGATCGGGGCTGCTCTGTGCAAAACCATTGCACAGAGCAGGTAAGTATAATTTTTTTTCTCTATTACAATTTTAGAATCAATTTAACCCCCACTACCCTGATATTCAACTATCAAATAGTTAAAGCCTTAGTGGCCATTGCAGTTTAAATATTTCAGAGTCAGGAGGTTTCAAAGTTTATTCTTGTTTTAAAGAGAAATTGAGGCAGCCTAGATTTGGGTTTTAAGGGGCTACACAGGGTCAGAGGGATCAGTATGAAACTACCTGAATGTTCCAAAAAGTGCTTGCACTTGAGCATTGATGTTGCCCTAGGCAATTTTAAACATTGACTCACTGCAAAGCTTCCATATCTGAGGCCAATGCCCTGTCGATACTCTCCTCTCAGACTAAAGCTGGCCATAGATGAATCAAATCTCGGCCAGTTTAGCAGGGATCGTCCGAGATTTGATTTATCTATGGGCAGGCTGAAGTTGATCCATTGATTGACTTCAGTACAACCAATCTGTTGGATTTATTTCATATGATCACTGCTGCTGGCTATAGCCATTAGCAGTAATCATTGGGATCTGTCAGTGGATCAGACTCCCTGTGCTCTCGTGCTGGCAGAACACATTAGTGCTGCCGGATTGATTTCCCCATCAACAAATGTGAAATCACTCTTTTTTCAGTGTTCAAAGACCAGCCACCATCTTCCTGTGAAGTCAACATTCACCAGAATGGATAACTCTCCTTACAACATTATATACACTTGTGATTCATATCAAACTTCTCAGAGTGCGTGCAAAGCTTCCCAATAACTTGAGTCCAATGGCACCTCCACATGGAATTGAGCTGAGATAAATAAAGCTCACCAGGAGCCAGGGATAATCTCCAATAGTGAAGAGATTTATTAAAATATCATAAAAACCATCTACATTAAGGTCAAACAAAAGTACTCACATAGAAAGTCGCTGCAGACCCAGCTTCACACAGCGGCGTGATGTCAGTAACAGAAATTTCACCCCAAATTGAATCAGATAGATTTGAAAGGGAAGGATTCAATATTTTTAGAATCTAATCTAACCCATCAAGAGAAATAGCATGGGCTGATTGGACAATATCGACTGGCGTCATGTGCATCTGAATTAACAAATGGAATTAAATTCGGATCCATTCCTTATACGAATTATCGATCGAGTTAAAAAATTTAATTCATTTCCCCATGGGCCCAACTTACTATTGCATTATGTGATGTCATCTGAATGAAATTAATTAATCGAATGCCTTCGTTTATTTAGTTTCAACTCTTTTTCAGATGTCCATTTGTAGACTCGTATACATTCAAATCACTGAATTTTCGTCCAAAAAAATGAATTGAGACAAAAAGCACATGTCTAAACCGAACCCTTTCTTTAACCGCTTTCCCGCTGCCCTATAGCAGAACTACTGCTACAGGGCGGCAGGGGTACACAAAATCATGTGTGTGTATATATATATATATATTATATATATGTGTGATTTTGCATTGCTGGGTAGAAGGTGCCCGCACGCATTGCGCCATCAGCGGCCTCACCTGTCGATCATCAGGTCCCAGTCAATGATCCCCGTCGGGCATCCAGTGACTGTCATGTATCACCGACGGGGGAGAAACCTGTATGTAAACAATACAGATCTTTCCCTTGTCAGCTCCTGCACACTGCTTTGTATTACTCTGCTATGTAAAGCAATGTGTTTACACGGTAAAACACACACAGCACACAGTTAACCCTTTGATCATCCCAGATGTTAACCCTTTCCTGCTCAGTGTCATTAGTACAGTGTCAGTGCTTTTTATTAGCACTGATCACTGTTTTTGTGTCACTGGGGCATGCGCGCTGCTCTACCCGCACCGCTGATGTCAATCACCAGATCCCGGCTGGAGATTCTCCACCTGCACCCCACGATCGCCAAAACAAACTAACAAGGGAGAGACCTGTGTGTAAACAACACAGGGCTCTCTCCTGCCAGCAAGAACATACTGCTGTGTATTTCTCTGCACAGCACAGAAATACACAGCAGCATGTTTCCCTAGTAAAACACACACGGCATTATGTAAGACAACACACAGTTAACCCTTTGATCGCCCCACGTTAACGCCTTCCTGCCCAGCCCAGTGTCAGTACATTTTTATAAGCACTGATCGCTGTATTAGTGTCATTGGGATGTCAGTTGCAAGTTAGTCAGTTCCCACGCAGTGTCAGAATGACCGCCGCAGTCCCGCTATAAGTCGCTGATCGCTACCATCACTATTTGGGGCATAAAAGGGCATAAATTTAATTTGGGTGGAGAGTTGCATGATCGCGCAATTGTCAGTTAAAGTAATACAGCACCGTATTGCTAAAAGTGGCCTGGTCAAGAAGGGGGAGGGGGCGGTAAATTCTCTGGAGGGCAAATGTTTAAACACTCAGCCCTCCTGCACCAGAATTTTGTACCTCAAAGTCCGATGCCATGATGTGAAATTATACCAGAGCCAAGAGGCTGGCATGGAATCTGCCACCCCTGGTTTTCTGGGCAATAGAATATTTTGACACTGGGTTGTTCCACTATTTCACACGCATAGGAGCTAAGTGTTGCAGAGTTAGGGCTTTCAGGTCTAGTTAGATGCGTATTCTGTGCACAAACAACAAACTGTTTGCAGTCAACCATGTATTACAGATTTTCTGAAAAGGTGACTGCTTTCAATGTACCTTTTTCTTGCTGCTGTGCCAAATCTGGTTCATATTGTAATGACAAATATGAACCATGCTTTAAGTTTTATTTTTAAGAAAAGCTTGACAGCAATGTAAGAGGCCTTTTCTATCCACACATAATACCTTTGTAATTTTCAGGTAGGAGTGATAAAACATTTTTTGATTTTTAAGTTGATGAAGAAAAAAGTTCTTGCTGTGAGGTATAAAGTGATTGAACCCATTCTGTAATCAACCAATGTATCAGAACAAATAACAAGAGAATTCTGTAAGGTTTGTTGCTTACTGGGCAAGAAAAAGTGAAAAGCAATGCTTTAGATGAGCTGTACAACCACAGGATAAATGTCCTTCAACCTTCTCTCCTGCACACATTGGAGTTGATTTACTAAAGGCAAATAGGCTGTTTACTTTGCAAGGGAAGCTGCACTTTGCAAGGGAAATTTTCCCAGCAATTATTGAATGAGGTGAAGCTCTGCCGACTTCCATCATTCATCATCCAATTTTTTTTAAAAAAATTCCTTGCATGGTGTATTTTTTGTGAAATGTCACTACATTTACTAAGCTCTGGAAAAATTAATTTGCAAAGTATGATTTCCCTTGCAAAGTTAATAGTCTATATGCCTTTACCCCCGGTTCACATATATGCGGCTGTGCGGGTCGCGTTTTGCATGGGCACGAGAGCCCATTCATTTGAATGGACTCCCGTGCCTGTGACACGCAGGGAAGAAGTACCTGCACTTCTTTGGAAAACGCAGCCCACATGGGAACCTCGGTTT